ACATATATACGACAACACAAAGGAGTATTACTCAGCCAGAAAGGAAAATGAAATTATGTCATTTGCAGGGAAATGGATGGAACTCAAGATCATCATGTTAAAGCTAGGCTTAGAAAGACAAATACTACATGCCTTCTCTCATTTGAGGAATCTAGTCCTTAGAAATGAATGACAGGAACGTGAAATAGGTTTTATTTGGGTTGGTTACCAAGTAGGAGGTGGAAGGACAGAAAGAAAGGGTGAAAGAGGCTGAATGTGGTTAAGTGGAACAATAAAACCTATTGAAATTATTTTAACAATTGGGAAGAGGAGGAATGAGAGAGGTGGTGAATTTAACAGGGACACATTTTATGTACACACAACATCATCATGGAACCCCTTCGTACAACTAATATAGACTAATAAAAATGTATAAAAATAATAAAAATCCTCAAAACAAAAATTAATAATTACCTGGTGACATCATTTAGGATAAATTCAAAATCTTAAGTAAATTTTCTGAGATACTGAAATTAACCTGAAATATATTTGGTATTTTCTTTGCTTTATTTTTATCAGTCGTGGGGCCTGAACTCTGGGCCTGGGTGCTGTCCCTCAGCTCTTCAGCTCAAGGCTAGTGCTCTACCATTTGAGCCATAGTGCCACTTCCAGCTTTTTCAGCTTATGTGGTACTGAGGAATCGAACCCAGGACCTCATGCATGCAAGGCAAGCAGTCTACCACTGAGCCACCTTCCCAGCCCTCTTTGCTTTAGTTTGTTCATATGGATTTTGGAAAGGCTGCGCATAAATAAGTGAATGAACAAACAAATCAGAACATTTACAAATTAGCTCTTTTGAGACATTTATTTTGGCAGTGTTGGTTAATTGTATAGGTTTTGATGTGAATTCCTCTCATCCTTGGCTCCAGACTATGATTTTTGTCACACATGATTTAATGCATAGATTCTTTAATATCTTCCACATTGGAAATTGCCGTGTTTGGCAGTGTGCTACTTAAATATAAATTAGAAATTTGTTTCTATCAACTTGATCAAGCGTTGGAAGAAGTCCCATAGTTTGTGTTCTGAAAAATAACATGAAACATTTTTTTCCTAGAAGTGTAATAAGAATCTTTCAACAGACTATTCATTGAGAGTCTACTTGTGAAACAAATTGTTCCAGGGGCCAAGGGAGGAACAGGTTTTCTTCATGAAGGCCTAGCTGAGAAACATGCTCATAAATGATCATAAACAATCAGCAAAACAAGGTAGTGAGCACTGGGAATCAAACTGTGTACACATTAAGTACCCATGGATCTCAGGAGATGAGAAAAATGTTGCCTGGGGTGGTCAGAGAGAGAGAGAACTCTCTGGAAGTTCTGAAATGTGAAGTACATTTGAAAATACTTTTTCTATTTTAGAAGTTTTATAGAATTGGTGTCAAGTAGCTCTTTATAAAGTGCAAATTTTAGTATGTTTTTAGCATATGTATGCATCCATTCAAATCAAGGGCTAGGCATGGTAGTATATGTATGTAATCCCCGCAACTCAGGAAGTAGAGGTAGGAGGCATATAACCAGAAGTTGGCCCAGGAAAAAGCATGTATCCATTTCTTCTAGATTTTCCAGTTTATTTGAGCATAGGTTGTCATCCCATTGTGATCGTCTGGGTTTTGCAACAAGTATATTTTCTTCTTACTATGTTAAGTATTTTTTTTTTTTGACAGTCCTGGGGCTTAAACTTAGGGCCTGGGTACTGTCCCTGAGCTTCTTTTGCTCAAGGCTGGCATTCTACCACTTGAGCCACAGTACCATTTCCAGCTTTTTCTGTGTATGTGGTGCTGAGGAATCAAACCCAGGGCTTCATGCATACTAGGCAATCACTCTACCACTAAGCCACCTTCCCAGTCCTGTTAAATATATATATATATATATTTTTGGGTCCGGTCGTGGGTCCTGAACTCTGGGCCTGGGCGCTGTCCCTCAGCTCTTCAGTTCAAGGCTAGTGCTCTACCACTTGAACCACAGCGCCACTTCCGGCTTTTTTCTTTTTGCTTATGTGGTGCTGAGGAATCAAATCCAGGGCCTCATGCATGCAAGGCAAGCACTCTACCACTGAGCCACCTTCCCAGCCCCCTCACGGACTTTCCTACCTGAGCTGGCTTTGAACCACGATCCTCAGATCTCAGCCTCCTGAGTAGCTAAGATTACAAGCCTGAGTCACCAACGCCCGGCTTTCCACTATCTCTTTTAAAACATATTTTTATTACCTTTAAGTAGTTGTACAAAGTACTTGCCATTCAACAAAGCAGTTTATGAACACAGTGCATCTTGATCAGTGTCACCCCTCTCAACATTCTTACCTCTTCCCTCACTTTTCTCAGTTTTGTAGGATATATACGAATTCTTGGCTGCATTCTCCTCCCTTCCCCCATCTCTTCATTTTTCCACTGTCCCTCACAATCTGTCTTCTATTGCACAACGTAGTTGGTTGGAGGAGCAGTTGTGCCATTAAAAAGGTCAAACTGACTACAAGCGTTTGCTTCCTTCTGCTACTTGATGGTAAAGTGCTTGCTGTTGGCCATTCATCTACCTTTGACTCTCTTCCCAGTCTTCCTGTGTTGTCAATTTTGAACAGGTCTCTGGATGGTTGCTTTTGGTTGTAGATATTTGGTGGAAGTGAATTTTTCTTGGCTCAGTAATCTTCAGAAGGCCTGTGTTAGGGAGGAGCTAGGGCTCTGGTCCAGGGTTGCTGGAATCTTCCCAGTGACCTGCGGGTCTCAGTGTCAGTCTCTTCAGCCCACACTTCTTCCCAGCCCATGTGAGATAACCCTTGTGGAGTTTTCACACAGTCCAATTTCTGTTGTTCCCCTGTTGCTATAGTGATAAGTTGCAAATATGCTTCTTGAAGTGATTTCTCATGGATCAACATTCTGAATTCAAGGAAGCTCTTGCTGCCAGCGTGTGCACTCTGCCCCGACTGCTGCAAATAAACAATGTCTGTTTTGCTCACCAGGGTATTTCTCACCAAGAAATATGCTTTGCTGCTTCTCTCAAGACCCAAAGCCATAACATGTCTGCACTTTCTGCCACACATGTTCCTGTTGATTTTCTACCTTTGGCAGACTTTTCATCCACATAGTGCGGGGTTTTCTCTTGCCTGCCTTCGTTAAATATGGAGCTTGCATTAAAAAAATTCTTAGCCTCTTTCTGGCTTTCAGATGATTCCTAAGGAAGTAAGGAAGGTATTCTAAATCTAAACTATCATCTTGAAACTGGAAGTTCAACTTACGAGCTGGAAAGACAGGTATTGCAGTGTATTCACAGTAGTTTTTGATGACAAACAGGTTTAAGCTGCATAATGGACAATAGTTTAATCTTAGCAAAGAGAAGATATCAAAAGAAGTTATTCAAAGATAAAAAACCTTCCAGGTAAGGTTGATGCTTTAGGTACATATATACCTTGGGAAGATTTTCCGATGCAAACCTTGTGACTTTAAAAATGTATTATATGAAAGAAAGACAATACGTGTGAGAAACCCTTCATGATACTGAAGCAAATTGCAGTCCAGTAAATGTGAATGGGCCCTGCGTTGTCTCCTCTAATCAGCCTCTATAGACCTTTAAAGTCTTGGACCATGAATATTAATTTATATCGTGAATGCTAGCTGATTAAGTGAGAATTTTGTGGTAACTTTTATAAAAGATAAAGCATTAGGTATTCATAAAAAATTACCCTTTTGATTAAACTACTACTATTATAGAGAAAATAAGATTGGGCTTGAGTAATTTTGAATGTTGAAATGTAATTCTGTACAAACATTAGCAGTTTCTTTAATTAAAGCTCTCTTATTAAAGTATCACTTTTTGTCCTGAAAATTGGGAAAAAAATGGAGAAATTTTTATTTTAAATGTTCCTGATTTTTTTTTTTAACATAGAATTGTGAGGTGCATATCAATGCTGTTTTTTTTTTTCCAGTCATGGGGCCTGAACTCTGGGCCTGGGCGCTGTCCCTCAGCTCTTCAGCTCAAGGCTAGCGCTCTACCATTGGAGCCACAGCGCCACTTCCAGCTTTTTCTGCTTATGTGGTGCTGAGGAATCCAACCCAGGGCCTCATGTGTACAAGGCAAGCCCTCTACCACTGAGCCACCTTCCCAGCCCTAATGCTGTTTTATTAATTTTTCCATTCTGAAAAATGAGAAAAATAATAAAGGAATTTTTATTTTATTATTTTTTTTGTTGGTTGTGGGGTTGAACTGAGGGCTGAGGGCTTTCCCTGAGCTTTTTTGCTGAAAGATAGTGCTCTATCACTTTGAGCCTCAGCTCCATTTCCAGCTTCTGGAAGATAAGAGTCTCATAGACTTTCCTGCCTGGGGTGGCTTTGAACCACAATCTCAGCTTCCTGAGTAGCTAGGATTATAGGCGTGAGGCACTGGCACTTGGCTCAGAATTTTTATTTTAAAATTTCCAGATTTTTACATAGAATTAAGAGTTGCATTGTTTTTCATTTTCTCCATATTTCATCCTTCAAATGAGGAAAGTCCTTTTACTTCAAATAAAGGGTATCACATTTAATTTTATCAAAATATTTCTCTGCAGTTCACACCCATGTTCATTTCACTTGATGTGCTTTTGTGAGCATAAATGTAAAACAACCAACCAACCAAACAAGCAACAGCTATCATCTCCAGGTTTTAGTGTGGTAGTTTTAAAACAGGTCCAAAAAATTACTTGGGTCTACTCTTATTTGAAGGGTAGAGCCTAACCCCTCTCTTCTTGATGCCAATTGGACTTAACAGCTTGCTCTTAATGAATGGATGATGGGTGATGTGATGGTGGAGATTCCAAGAACAGGTTAGAAGTCATCGTGGCTTTTTCCTTGGTCTGATTTTTGGGTAGTTTGCTCTGATGGGAGGCTAACTTCATGCTGTGAACAATCCCAACTGATTCTGTGAAGTGCTTGTTTGGTAAGATAGTGAGATCTCCTGATACTAGCAAATAACCAAGGCCTCTTCCAACAGCAGTGGGAGTGAACCATCTTGGACATAGCTGCTTCAGGCCTGTAGAGTCTGTGGAGGACAAGAGCCCAGCCCCTGTCTTGCCTGCAGCCTCAAGAACAGTCTTCAGCCAAAACCGTCCAGGCAAGTCAACTCTGAATTCCTGGCCCACAGAAACTATATTTAAAACTATGTTTTAAATGGGTAGGTTTGGGGATCATTTGTTATATAGCAGTAGACAGCTAAAACAATGTGATTGATTTTATTTTCTCTATAAGGATGCACTAACACAGACTGTGCACTGATAGTTCATCAATTGTAAAGCAACCAGCTTAACACTCATTATTGCCTGCTTACATCTTAATTATCAATCCCTCTACCCCCACATCTTGATATACCTACAATTCCTTAACAGTTGGATCAATAATAACAACCAATATTAAGGAAACTTCTGAAAGTTTCATAATGTTCTGGACTCAAGGGAAGAAAAAGACTAAATATTTTTGACAATGAAATAGGTCCCTTGACCATTTAAAGAATGTGAACCCCTGACATATTTGTTGACCAGAAAAGGAGTGACTGAAATGGAAACTTATGTGTTCCTTGTTTTTTTTTTTTAATTTTAAATACTAATAAATAGAAAACAACACTAGCAATGAGTCCTGCTAACATCTCATGTTCTACTCTACATTGGCCATAAAAGGAAGCTAATGATCAGAAACCTGCTGTAACTTGATAGATAAGGGCAGTCCTAGGGCTGAGACAATGGAGCGGGCAGAGTTGATTAGTAATTGCTTTCCAGGGCGCTAGAGGAAAAAGCTGGTAAGTATACCTGGTGTCTGTGCCATCTGAAACTCAAACCTATTTGCTTCCAGGAGGACATGGGTCATAGGATGATAAATGTTGGAGTCACCAAACAAGTCCTTCCTCTTCATCCCCATCTCAAGACCAACTGATTACTTTTGAGTTAACTTATTAGGGGTAAGACAAGTTCCTCTTCCTCCAAACCTCTCTCCTCTTGGAACTCTGCCATTGTGGGTGTGACCTCAACAGTCATGAGAAGAGAGATGTGTTCCCAAAAGATCTACACAGAAGAGGGTAAAGGAAAACTGGTTTGTTTTGATAGAAGATCAAAATGTATCACTTAAGAAGTTTATTTCTTTCTGGCTCACTTCATCAAGCTGTTTGTTACAGGGTTGAACTTGTGTATGAAGTTAGTTTATGGAACACTCTGTCCTTACGGGAGGCAGATCATGACAGAGCTTTATTTTTCTCTCATTCTACTGTCTTCAGTAGTGAGCTGTTCAATGTCTTGCTCCTTTCTTTTAGCCGCAGTTTGAGCTGATCCCACTGTTTTGGAAGTTTTAGTTTTACCTATTTAAAATGCTCATACTGTCCTTTTATTAATCTAACACTTAAGTTCAGTTTGGACAAACACCTGAAAGCCTGGGATGGAGGCAGGGAAGGGAAGACATATTAGGCTCCTTGGTTCTTGGCTGTGGTCTGAATGGTTCTGTTTCCCTGCTCTCCGCATTCATATGCTGAACTCCTAACCCCTAATGTGATTCAGAGATGAGGTCTTACAAAAGAGTCCTGAGAGAGACACCATCTTTTCTATCACCTAGGGTACTGGAAGAATTTGCCATCTATGTAACAGAATGTGAGCCCTACCCAGTCACCACATCTGCCAGTGCCTTTGCCTTTGGATTCTCTAGCCTGTAGCACTGGGAGAAAGTGTTCAGTTTTGTAAGAACCTCCCAGTGTATGTCAGTCTAAAGGACTACTCCCTTTGCTCTTCTTTCCTTTCTCTTCACTCTCTTGCTGGCCTTTCTGGCACCTCTAGGATTAAGTACATAAGGGACAGGGATGGTGGGAAGAGCAGAGTTTTCCTGAGAGCTGAGTTGGGCCTGGGCACCACAGAGGAACATGTCACATCTCCCTCACGGGTGGAGAACGAGGACATGTTTACAGAGAGTTTCTGTAGAGTGGACCTCATGGAAGGCAGATGGCTTTAAGTCATTTTGAAGAGACTTGACTCAAGAGATCTGTCACCTAATGGATAATATAATAATATAATAATAATATAATATCCTAATGGGTCAGGTAATCCCAAGGAGGGAGAATCTTATGGAAACAGTACCAGGTCGACAGGAAGTTCCCAGTATGGAGACCCAGCCAAACTCGGTCTGTAAGCACAAGAGCCAACATCTGGGCAGCTGCTACCCCAGTCACCGACACATGATATTGGCATGAGTCAGATGAGGTCATGTCTGCTCCTGCTCTGTCCTCTCTTTTGACCACATTTTGAGGCAGGCAGTAAGTGGGAGGAGTCAAAGGCAGATAAACACTACATAGAGACTTTCACCTCTTACCCTTCACAGGGTTCTTCAGAGTGTGTTACACATGAAGGCTTGATGGGAGGGGATGTGCCAAGTGTTAGGTCCCCCAGGGAAAAATGGCCCCTTTCCCCATTGTTCTTGCTGGGTGCACACATGGCCCCCTCACCAGAGGCCCCTGTCCAACATTGGTAACCCAGGTAACTGGTGTACCTGATGGCAATGGGCAGTCCCCCAGACTCTGAGGTCTTTGCTGCGGCCACACCTCCTCCCTGCCCTCTCCCTATCTATCAGTCTTCATCATTAGTTCCGCCCTTTGTTTTGCCCCTGGCCCCCTTGCCCTCCCCATTTCCCTTCTCTTCCCCTTCCCCTGCATTGCTTGCACCCCCGGCACGCCTCCATCTTGTTCAGGTCAGCAATATGCTCTCCCCACAATAAACTCTTTTTCTGCCTGAACCATGTGGCAGTCTCCTTTACACCAAGCAAGAGTGAAGATTTAGGTAAGAATGGATTAGACTCTGAAGTCAATAGTGAGGATGTTTATTAATACCTGACAGTGATTTGCAAAATATCTGTTTTATTTTTAGCCGACATAAGAGAAGATAACACCTGAAAGTCAGGGGAAGGAGGAAAATAGCGTTATTCTGGGGTGATCGCCGCTCTCTTCTGAGTCTAGCTTTTGCTTTGTATACAAACACTTAGCTTCTTACCCCTCATAAGTACTCAATAAATATGATGTGGAAATACGGTTATCTTCCATATTACAACAACCACATCAAATTCTTCCATGTTCAGACCCTGTGGTAAGTGATACACAGGACGAGAGGCTCACAGAGGTTGTATATGCATGGCTGATAGAATTCCTTTAGTAGTGGCAGGTAAGCACCTGGGAAGTCCTATTTTCTGTTTCATAAAAGATACGCAATTAAGATGTAATGTGCTTTTAGTACTAACTTCCTCTTGGCTAAGCTGAAAGGATGAGGGAAAATGAGGAAGTTCAGGTCTATTACTAAATCAAACTTTAGAATTGTGGGGGAAGGGAGCAGAGGCAGAGCCCACAGAATAGAATGCTCCATTTTGAAGCTTCATGAGATAGTTGCAATGTCCATACAAAGGACATGTTATGGTTTAGAAGTGAGGCGATGAGCTGGGCCCCAGTGGCTCACACCCATAGTCCTAGATACTCAGAAGGCTGAGATCAGAGGATCATAGTTTGAAGCCAGCCCAGGCAGACAAGTCCATGAGACTCTTATCTCCAATTAACCACCAAAAAAACTGGAAGGGGTGCTGTGCCTTAAAGTGGTAGAACACTAGCCTTGAGTGAAAAGGCTCAGGAACAGTGCCCACGCCCTGAGTTTAAACCATATGACCGGCCCCCCCCCCCCAAAAAAAGTGTTTACCCTATGATATGTTAAACATTACTATATCATATGAGGGTGTGATTGTTTTCATTATTCATAAATTATCATTCTGGTTCATCTCTCATGCCCTTTACCTATTTTTCTTCAGTGCAAGCTTTGTGTTTCATATAAGCACAGTACCAGCTCCACTTGGAATCTGATGCTTTGTTTGTTGTGAGTCCTCTCTTGTCATTAGTAATTGCAGACATTCCTGCCTTATGGAATTTCCCAAGGGACCACTATCCGAGACTCCAGCCCATAACTCACTCTTCTTTATCTGCTCACAAGCAGAACTGACTCCCTCCATAGCCTTGAAGATGAAGAAATGCCGGCAGTGGTCTTTATGTCTCTCCTCTAAGTGCTGTTAATATTGGAAGATATGAACCTTCTTCTGGAAGACAGTCTGAGGACTCTTTAGATGGAGTGGGGATTTTATATTTATAGCCTATACTCTATCTGTACAGGAACAGCAAGATGTATTTGTCAACCTGAACAAAGAAGTTTGTATCCTTAGCAAGGCCGATCACCCTGATTATAGGATGAACCTCTAAACAATGTCAATCTCAGATTGCATCCTGAGTATGTCATGTAGTTTGGAGAATCTCAGTATTTTGTCCTAGGGGCTTCCTGTTTTCAACATGGAGCCTTGGACTATTCTCCTGGTCAGTCTGAGGCCATGGAGAGACTGGTGGGCTGGCTGTGGATTGTCAGCCAGCCAGTGATCAACAGTACAACTTGGACAAGTCTCTTTGTATTTTTGAGCTTCATTAAAGCTGGGTAGGGGAGCAGAGAAAGGAATTGGTGGATCTTCTTTTCAGATGACTCTACTCCACATCTCACTTCAAATCGGTCTTGTCTTATATCACCGATGTGGAAGACACTAGAAAGACCCTGTTTGAAGTCTGTAGTTTGCTTCCAGACTTCTTCGTCCCCTGGAAGAGGTCATCTCCATGCTTCCCGCTCCCTGTTCCCGTATATGGAGTCAGAGCCCGGAGCAGTCTGCTTCTCTCCTCACCCCTCACGGTCCTTCCTGCTAAATTTAGTAATCCTTTCTTCTTTCCTGAAAAGGAGCTATAAAAACCACTCTTATCCTCAGACCCAAATTATGCTTCGGATCAGAAAGTGTTCAGAACGTGGAAATACAGTGTTTTTTTCAAGGATTTAAATGCAAAGCAGAGTCACCCCACAGCTCCTTCATCGCATTTTAATTCTATTTCATGTAGTGTTAATTTAAAACCATGACCCGTGGAGCACAGCAGAGGACATGACAGTGAAGCCAGAAGGTACAGGCCTGGGAAGACAGATAACGTGTCTTGGCCTTGTCCCTCGATAACCAGCCCACCTTCCTCCTGTCCATGGCCCAGCTTTCCTAGCACTTGATTTAATAACTGTAGGGGATTCTC